CTAATCAGAGGAGTTTCCCTCTGTCGCTGCGTAGCTGGAGTCTGAATGGTCTCCTTTTGCTGCTGCTGCGGCTTCGTTGCTGCTGAAGTCGAAGCGGGCTTCCCTTGCTGCTGCTGCTGCTGCTGCTGCTGCTGCTGCTGCGCTGCTGCTGCTGCTGCTGCTGCCCTGCTCCAGAAGTGTCTCCCGCTGCAGCAAAGCAGCACTTTGGCTGTTTCTAAAAGTGGAAAAGCTTACAGAATATCCCAAATAGGAGGCACTTGCTGCTGCTGCTGCTGCTGCTGCTGCTGCTGCTGCTGCAGGGGGGCCCCCTTTGCTGCTGCTGGCAGTGCTGCTGCGGCAAGGGTTTAGGGGGGCCCCCCTCCACTCTTCGGGGGCCCCCAGGAAGCATTTGCTTCTGTTGCTGCTGCTGCCTGCAGCAGCAGCAGCAGCAGCAGCAGCAGCAGCAGCAGCAGCAGCAGCAGCAGCAGCAGATTCCCCAGAAAAGCTCCGGGCAGTGGAGGAGACGCTGCGGGAGTAGGGCGTCTCGCGCAGCTTTGCTGCTGCTGCTGCTGCTGCTGCTGCTGCTTCGCTGCTGCTGCTGCTGCTGCTGCTGCTGCTGGCGGCGGCGGGGAGGGAGCAGCAGCAGAGGCGGCGAAAAAAGCCCAAAAGAGCCTGCTGCTGCTGCTGCTGCTGCAACTGCAGCTGCTGCTGCTGCCGCTGCTGCTGCTGCTGCTGCTGCCGCTGCTGCTGCTGCTGCTGCTGCTGCTGCGGAGCAGCAGCAGCAGCAGCAGTCTCCAAACTGCAGCAAGGCAGCAGCAGCTGAATTATTAATCTTCCAGATTTGTCTCTCGACAGCAGCCGCGCAAAAGTTATCCGATTCAAAACCCTTTCCTCCATGAAGTGAAGCGCCTCCTGACGCCTAAACCCTAAACCCTAAACCCTAAACCCTAAACCCTAAACCCTAAACCCTAAACCCTAAACCCCAAACCTAACCCCAAACCCTAAACCCTAAACCCCCTAAACCCTAAACCCTAAACCCTAAACCCTAAACCCTAAACCCTAAACCCTAAACCCTAAACCCTAACCCTGAAGGGCGAAATGTTGCACAGCGAAGTCAACAAACTGTTCACCAACGCGGGGGTGTTTCCCGCGCCCTGCATAAACCCTAAACCCTAAACCCTAAACCCTAAACCCTAAACCCTAAACCCTAAACCCTAAACCCTAAACCCCCCTAAACCCTAAACCCTAAACCCTAAACCCTAAACCCTAAAACCCTAAACCCTAAACCCTAAACCCTAAACCTAAACCCTAAACCCTAAACCCTAAACCCTAAACCCTAAAACCCTAAACCCTAAACCCTAAACCCTAAAGAAGGGCGAAATGTTGCACAGCGAAGTCAACAAACTGTTCACCAACGCGGGGGTGTTTCCCGCGCCCTGCACAAACCCTAAACCCTAAACCCTAAACCCTAAACCCTAAACCCTAAACCCTAAACCCTAAACCCTAAACCCCCCCCTAAACCCTAAACCCTAAACCCTAAACCCTAAACCCTAAACCCTAAACCCTAAACCCTAAACCCCAAATCCTACACCCGAAACCCTAATAAACCCTAAGTCATAGCCCTTGAATCCTAACCCTCAACCCTAAACCGCAAACCCTACTGAACCCCAAACCCTAAACCCTAAACCCTACTAAACCCTAAACCCTAATAAACCCTAAACCCTAAACCCTCGTACTGTTGCGAAGGGCTGTCCGGCTTTTCCCCCTTTTGGGGTTTGAGGAGCGCGTACGCCCTAACCCCAAACCCCAAACCCTAAACCCTAAACCCTAACCCCCCCAAAACCCCAAACCCCAAACCCCAAACCCTAAACCCTAAACCCTAAACCCTAAACCCTCGTACTGTTGCGAAGGGCTGTCCGGGTTTTCCCCCTTTTGGGGTTTGGGGAGTTCGGATTCCGTAGAGGCGGAGTCTGAGGAGGTTTTGTTTTTCGGGGGTTTTGGAAAAAGGGTTTTGCTTATCCGCTAAAAAAGGGTTTTGAGGGTTTTGCTTATCCGCTAAAAAAGGGTTTTGAGGGTTTTGCTTATCCGCTAAAAAAGGGTTTTGAGAAATCAAAACTTTCTCTTCAAAGTCCTTCAGAGGAAAACGCAAAAGTTTGTGGCCGTTTGGAATGTGCCTAAACGCAAACACTTTTTGTTTTATTTTATTTTATTTTATTTTATTTATTTTATTTTATTTTATTTTATTTATTTTATTTATTTTATTTCACTTTATTTTATTTTACTTTATTTTATTTTTATTTGTTGTGTTTATTTACTTTTATTTAATTTGTTTTGTTTTATTTATTTTATCTACTTTATTATTTTATTTTATTTTATTTTACTTTACTTATTTCATTTACTTTTATTTGTTTTGTTATTTTAATTTGTTGCACTTTATTTATTTTAATATTTTAATTCATTTTAAATTAATTCGTTTTAAAATGTTTCATTCCGTTTTATTAATTATATAATTCTTCCAATTAATTAATTTTAAAATGTTTTATTTTATTTTATTTTATTTTATTTTATTTTATTTTATTTTATTTTATTTATTTTAAATCTTTTAATTGATTTTAAATTGTTTTAATAAAATGTTTTAAATAAATGTTTTGCAGTAAAATAAGTGTTTTAAATGTTTTAAATGTTTTTGGGGAAATTCTGAAGATATTTTTAAAACTTTTTGAAACATTTTGAAAACATTTTAAACCCTTTAGGGTTTAGGGTTTAGCTCTAGGGTTTAGGGTTTCCGTGAGTGTTTCTCTGTGTAGCAATTCAGGGTTTAGGGTTTATCTAGGGTTTAGGGTTTCCGTGAGTGCTTCCTGTGTAGCAATTCAGGGTTTAGGGTTTAGCTCTAGGGTTTAGGGTTTAGGGTTTGTCTCCTCGTGTAGCAATTCAGGGTTTAGGGTTTAGGGTTTGGCTTTATAAGAGGCTCTCCATGTGCAGCAATTTATGGTTTAGGGTTTACCTGTCCCTCAGTGTGTCTCCCTGTGCAGAAATACGGGGTTTAGGGTTTAGGGTTTACGGGAAGACAGGGTTTAGGGTTTAGGGTTTATATACCTGCACAAACCCTAAACCCTGTTTCCTGCTCCACGAGGGTGTCTTCTAGCGCAGTAGGCAGGGCCTAGGGTTTGTGGTTTAGGGTTTAGGGTTTGTGGTTTAGGGTTTAGGGTTTGTGGTTTAGGGTTTGTGGTTTAGTGTTTACCTGCCCCTGAGGGTGTCTCCTAGCGCACAATTAAGGGTTTAGGGTTTAGGGTTTGTGGTTTAGGGTTTACCTGCCGGTGAGGGTATATTCTTCTTCAGAAAACAGGGTTTAGGGTTTAGGGTTTAGGGTTTACCTGCCGGTGACAGTGTCTCCTAGAGCGCACTCAAGGGTTTAGGGTTTGAGGGTTTAGGGTTTAGGGTTTAACTGCCAGTGAGAGTGTCTTCTAGCGCACAATTAAGGGTTTAGGGTTTTGCGATTAGGGTTTACCTTCCAGTGAGGGTTTAGGGTTTGTGCATTAGGGTTTAGGGTTTAGCTGCCGGCGAGAGTGCCTCCTAGCTCACAATTAAGGGTTTAGGGTTTGTGGCTTAGAGTTTGTGGTTTAGGGTTTGTGGCTTAGTGTTTGTGGTTTAGGGTTTGTGGCTTAGGGTTTAGGGTTTAGGGTTTAGCTGGCGGCGAGAGTGCCTCCTAGCGTCCAATTAAGGGTTTAGGGTTTAGGGTGTAGGGTTTAGGGTTTAGTGGGTTTGTGGCTTAGGACTTGTGGCTAGGGTTTGTGGCTCCGGGTGTGCGGACGAGGGTTTGCGGCCTGGGGATCGCCAACCAGGGTTTAGGGTTTAGGGTTTAGGGTTTAGGGTTTAGGGTTTACGCCCACTACGGGCTTCCCGAGGGGCCCCTTCAGCGCGCGGGGCCTTCAAACCCTAATCGGCTCCTCTCGCTGCCTGCGCCAGGCGCTGCGAGACCTAGGGTTTAGGGTTTAGGGTTTAGGGTTTAGGGTTTAGGGTTTAGGGTTTAGGGTTTAGGGTTTACCTGCCGGCGAGCGAGTCGGCGCCCGAGAGGGCCAAGACCTGAACCACCAGGCACTGGTGGTTTTGGAAGAAGTGGAAAGGAATGGAGTTTTCATTTTCGAAAAAAGGGTTTTCTACAAACTCCAAAACCCTAAACCCTAATCCAAACCCTAAACCCTCGCTGCGGGCCCCCAAGCCCGCGGAGCTGCCCGCGCCCATCCTGGGGTTTAGGGTTTGGCAGCAGCACCAGCAGCAGCGCAGCAGCAGCAGCAGCAGCAGCGCAGCAGCAGCAGCAGCAGTTGCTGCTGCTGCTGCTGCGCTGCTGCGCGGTAGAGCCCACTCGGCTCTGCAGCAGCGCAGCGGGAGAGCAGCAGCAGCAGCAGCAGCAGCAGCAGCAGCTCGTGCGGCGGCAGCAGCTGCAGCAGCAGCAGCAGCAGCAGCAACAGCAGCTGGTGTGCAGCAGCAGCTGCAGCAGCAGCAGCGGCGGCAACAGCAGCTCGCGCGGCGGCAGCAGCTGCTGCTGCAGCAGCAGCAGCAACAGCAGCCGCTGCTGCAGCTGCTGCTGCTGCAGCAGCAGCAACTAGCGGAGCTGCAGCTGCACAGCTAGACGGCGCTGGGGACCCAAAGCAGCAGCAGCAGAAGGGATCCGCGGGAGGAGCTGCCCGCGCCCATCCTGGGGTTTAGGGTTTGGCAGCAGCACCAGCAGCAGCGCAGCAGCAGCAGCAGCAGCAGCGCAGCAGCAGCAGCAGCAGTTGCTGCTGCTGCTGCTGCGCTGCTGCGCGGTAGAGCCCACTCGGCTCTGCAGCAGCGCAGCGGGAGAGCAGCAGCAGCAGCAGCAGCAGCAGCAGCAGCTCGTGCGGCGGCAGCAGCTGCAGCAGCAGCAGCAGCAGCAGCAACAGCAGCTGGTGTGCAGCAGCAGCTGCAGCAGCAGCAGCGGCGGCAACAGCAGCTCGCGCGGCGGCAGCAGCTGCTGCTGCAGCAGCAGCAGCAACAGCAGC